GTGAGTGAGTGAGTGAGTGAGTGTGTGTGTGAGTGAGTGCGTGAGTGAGTGAGTGTGTGTGTGTGAGTGTGTCTGTGTGTGCGTGTATGTGAGTGTGTGTGTGAGAGAGAGAGTGTGTGTGAGTGAGTGTGTGTGTGTGAGAGAGAGAGAGTGTGTGTGAGTGAGTGAGTGTGTGTGTGTGTGTGAGTGAGTGTGTCATTTTTTTATTGGTTTTATTCTTTTTTTAATATGCATATGTAGTTTTTATTGTTTTCGATTTCAGTTTTAGTTTATTTTAGTGTATCAAGTTAAACTAAATGAAAATAAAAATAAAATTAATTAAAATACATTTTATTTCAAGTAACAAAATATATATATATTTTTTGGTTTTAGTTTTAGTTTGCTATAATAACCCTGGTCCAAACAGCTGATAAAACATCACAATAATCCACACCACTCCAGTCCAAATTGTGAAGAGAAAAGCCCATTTTCTTTTTTGGGTGAACTATTCTTTTAATTTCCATCAAAGTTTCAGTAGAATGTTTCTCTGTATGATCCTTTCAGATATAATGCTGCTGCATGCTGAGATTTATAATGATGAAATATGGAGCGAGTTCAGTCTGTCTGATTCTGAGTGAACCAGCGGCTCTTCGTGACTCTGTGTGTGTTTCAGGTCACGGAGCTGGAGTGTGTGAGCGGACAAACCGCTGGCGTCAAAACACAGAAAACAGAGCTGAACCAGACCATAGAAGAGCTGGAGGCCGAGCTGAAGGCCAGAGAGGAGGTCTGAGCACCACACCATCACTGCAAACCACCCATCCACTGCTTCACACTCAAAACATGCAGTCATGTCTGTCTGTTCCCCACAGGAACTGGAGAATCTGAAACAGGAAGTGGAGGAAGCCAGCCAGCTGCAAACACAGAAAGAGTCGCTCACTCAGAAACTACAGGTGAACATGCACTCATTCCGGTCCTGTCTGTCAGCTCACACTGATGCAGCGTCTGATGATCATGATGCAGGACGACTGACTGACTGACTGCGTGATGAATGCAGTGATATCAGCCTAAAATTATATGAGCCTCTTATATTTACAGCGTATGATATAGTATAGCAGGATCACACCAGCAAGAGTGCTGTTTCTCCCCAATATCTGCACAAATGCAAACGTGATATTGATTTTATACGACAGGAACATAAACAAGAAGTTAATATAGTGATTTAGACACAATATCATCTGTTTTGCTCAATTTCACTAATGGAAATAGTTCCAATCAGAGCCACAGCAGATCTGTTGAGCATCAGCACATAGCAGTGATTCGTTACTGAATGAATCCATGGTTTTAAACAAATTGAGTGAGCCAATGATTCAGTGACTTGTTCATAAAGACAGTCATGTGCTTCGTTTCTGAATGAATCAGTCGTTTGGATGAATCGAGCGAGCCAGTGATTCAGTGACTCGTTCATAAAGACAGTCATGTGCTTCGTTTCTGAATGAATCAGTCGTTTGGATGAATCGAGGGAGCCCGTGATTCAGTGACTCGTTTATACAGTGATTCAGTGACTCGTTCATAAAGACAGTCATGTGCTTCGTTTCTGAATGAATCAGTCGTTTGGATGAATCGAGCGAGCCAGTGATTCAGTGACTCGTTCATAAAGACAGTCATGTGCTTCGTTTCTGAATGAATCAGTCGTTTGGATGAATCGAGCGAGCCAGTGATTCAGTGACTCGTTCATAAAGACAGTCATGTGCTTCGTTTCTGAATGAATCAGTCGTTTGGATGAATCGAGCGAGCCAGTGATTCAGTGACTCGTTCATAAAGACAGTCATGTGCTTCGTTTCTGAATGAATCAGTCGTTTGGATGAATCGAGCGAGCCAGTGATTCAGTGACTCGTTCATAAAGACAGTCATGTGCTTCGTTTCTGAATGAATCAGTCGTTTGGATGAATCGAGCGAGCCAGTGATTCAGTGACTCGTTCATAAAGACAGTCATGTGCTTCGTTTCTGAATGAATCAGTCGTTTGGATGAATCGAGCGAGCCAGTGATTCAGTGACTCGTTCATAAAGACAGTCATGTGCTTCGTTTCTGAATGAATCAGTCGTTTGGATGAATCGAGCGAGCCAGTGATTCAGTGACTCGTTCATAAAGACAGTCATGTGCTTCGTTTCTGAATGAATCAGTCGTTTGGATGAATCGAGCGAGCCAGTGATTCAGTGACTCGTTCATAAAGACAGTCATGTGCTTCGTTTCTGAATGAATCAGTCGTTTGGATGAATCGAGCGAGCCAGTGATTCAGTGACTCGTTCATAAAGACAGTCATGTGCTTCGTTTCTGAATGAATCAGTCGTTTGGATGAATCGAGCGAGCCAGTGATTCAGTGACTCGTTCATAAAGACAGTCATGTGCTTCGTTTCTGAATGAATCAGTCGTTTGGATGAATCGAGCGAGCCAGTGATTCAGTGACTCGTTCATAAAGACAGTCATGTGCTTCGTTTCTGAATGAATCAGTCGTTTGGATGAATCGAGCGAGCCAGTGATTCAGTGACTCGTTCATAAAGACAGTCATGTGCTTCGTTTCTGAATGAATCAGTCGTTTGGATGAATCGAGCGAGCCAGTGATTCAGTGACTCGTTCATAAAGACAGTCATGTGCTTCGTTTCTGAATGAATCAGTCGTTTGGATGAATCGAGCGAGCCAGTGATTCAGTGACTCGTTCATAAAGACAGTCATGTGCTTCGTTTCTGAATGAATCAGTCGTTTGGATGAATCGAGCGAGCCAGTGATTCAGTGACTCGTTCATAAAGACAGTCATGTGCTTCGTTTCTGAATGAATCAGTCGTTTGGATGAATCGAGCGAGCCAGTGATTCAGTGACTCGTTCATAAAGACAGTCATGTGCTTCGTTTCTGAATGAATCAGTCGTTTGGATGAATCGAGCGAGCCAGTGATTCAGTGACTCGTTCATAAAGACAGTCATGTGCTTCGTTTCTGAATGAATCAGTCGTTTGGATGAATCGAGCGAGCCAGTGATTCAGTGACTCGTTCATAAAGACAGTCATGTGCTTCGTTTCTGAATGAATCAGTCGTTTGGATGAATCGAGCGAGCCAGTGATTCAGTGACTCGTTCATAAAGACAGTCATGTGCTTCGTTTCTGAATGAATCAGTCGTTTGGATGAATCGAGCGAGCCAGTGATTCAGTGACTCGTTCATAAAGACAGTCATGTGCTTCGTTTCTGAATGAATCAGTCGTTTGGATGAATCGAGCGAGCCAGTGATTCAGTGACTCGTTCATAAAGACAGTCATGTGCTTCGTTTCTGAATGAATCAGTCGTTTGGATGAATCGAGCGAGCCAGTGATTCAGTGACTCGTTCATAAAGACAGTCATGTGCTTCGTTTCTGAATGAATCAGTCGTTTGGATGAATCGAGCGAGCCAGTGATTCAGTGACTCGTTCATAAAGACAGTCATGTGCTTCGTTTCTGAATGAATCAGTCGTTTGGATGAATCAAGCGAGCAAGTGATTCAGTTACTCGTTCATAAAGACAGTCATGTGCTTCGTTTCTGAATGAATCAGTCGTTTGGATGAATCGAGCGAGCCAGTGATTCAGTGACTCGTTCATAAAGACAGTCATGTGCTTCGTTTCTGAATGAATCAGTCGTTTGGATGAATCGAGCGAGCCAGTGATTCAGTGACTCGTTCATAAAGACAGTCATGTGCTTAGTTTCTGAATGAATCAGTCGTTTGGATGAATCGAGCGAGCCAGTGATTCAGTGACTCGTTCATAAAGACAGTCATGTGCTTCTTTTCTGAATGAATCAGTCGTTTGGATGAATCGAGCGAGCCTGTGATTCAGTGACTCGTTCATAAGGACAGCCATGTGCTTCGTTTACGAATGAATCAGCTGTTTGAACGAATCAGTTGAATGAACGACTCACTCATTAACTCCTACTGGGGATTTTAGAGTATCATTTCATTTTTCAAATTTTAGATTTTAATATTTGTAAAAAAAAAACATTAATACCCATTTATTATTGTTTATTTCTAAAGCTACTTTTTGCAGTGCCTATTCAATGCTTTTCTCATTTAACACAATAATGAAATTAAATGATCTTTTGGGAGTAATTTCTCTGAATCTGACTGATGTGTGATTAATTAGATGAATTAATCATCACATGATTAGCTGTAACATGTTAATTAGATGAATGAATCAGTACATGATGTAATGAATTAGCTGTAACATGTTACTCACCTGACAGCAGCAGCAGTGAGTTAATCCCTCGGTGTTTGCCTCCATCAGGAGACGGAGCTGAGGAGCGCGGAGCTGGAGTCGCAGCTGCTGGATCTGGAGCAGCGTCTGGAGAACAGCCAGCTGGAGAGCGAGAGCTTCAGGAGGAGTCTGCGCTCGCTGCTGGAGCTGCTGGACGGAAAGATCTTTGAGCTGAGCGAGCTACGAGACAGTCTGGCCAAGCTGATGGAGAGCGACAGCAGCTAGAGACACGCACACGCTCATGTTTCCAGACACTGATCTCCCTCTCCACTCTCATCCACCGTGCACAGACTGCGCTGCAGAAACAGAAACCTTGCTGTGCTTTCTGACTCTTGCGGTGCTTTCTATAAAAGCGTGGCGAGCTGAAGATGCGATCCGGCCGCTAGATCGCTCGTGCATCATCTGCTGCTCTTCCACTGAAATCTGAGCAATACGAGAGAGAAACGGACACTATCAGGGATTTTTCGTCTGGAAGCGTCCTTCCTTTCCAAACACTTTTTAAACACAAACGGGATTGAGGTGAATAATTTTGTTCTTGGGGTTTGTTGTTTCCGGTTTACTTCCTACTGTATGATTTCTGGTTATTTATTGTAAAAAAAAAAAAATTATATCTATATATTCTAATCACAGTGGCTGCATTAAGTAGTTATTTCAAGTATGTTTGTTTGCATTTTTCTTGTTTTTTATCCTTTCCCATGTGGATATGTGTTTTTTAAATGTGAGATAAACTGGCAATATTTTTGAACTATTGAAGTATTTAAAAGTGAAACAATGTGATCAGATTTCAGCCGAGTGTTTCTCTTTGCCAAAGCTGTTGTACAGATGAAGTTGAGTGATCTTGTGCTTCTGAAGATCTTCAAGGGCTCGCGGCAGATAGATGTGCTCGTTTTTGACACACTGGACGGCTTTATCATGTTGGATTTATGAGCCGATGTGACACTTTGAGGCTCAGAAACCTTTGAATAATAATTGAGAATATTGATTATACCACACACTCAAACACAATTGTAATTCTGAGTTTATAGTAAAATTAAAGAGGAAAAATCAATGTCAGCGGTGTTGTTTTTCTCTTTATGAATGTTTGAACCCTGACAGATGTTTGTACTCCTGTGGAGAAAATCATATTTCACCTCAAAACCAGGAATTGATGCAGTGCATGAAGATTAGTTTTTGTTCTCATGACTGTGATGCGAGACGTCTGTGCTGTACACGTCACTGTTGTTACTGTGTCTGGACGTCTTCATGATTCAGTATATGTATTTATTTGTTTTGGTTTTGGGGTGGAATATGAGATGACGTGTTCACCCGAGGCTTTTCATCACGTGACTTCAGAAGGAGCTCAGATCTCATGGACAACTCTAATGAAACTCTATTGGTGCGATGATCGTTTGTATCCTTTCTGCATCCTAAGAGCAGCTTGAACATTCATCTAAACATCTGCTTTTGTGTTCAACAGAATGAAGTCACACAGAACCACATGAGGTGAGTAAATGATGGCAGAAAATTGACTAATTATTAGATACTAAATCCAGTTTATGTCCGTATTAGAAATATTGCAAAAAAAAAAAAAAGTAAAAATATCTAAACATTCTTAAATCAGAAGACATTTACTTTGAAAAGAAAGTCATTTTCTGAAAAAAAAAATTCTAAAAATTTTTTTTTAACTTAAAATGAGAGAAAAATATCTGCTAGAAGCGTAAGAAAAATATTGTTTTCCCTTTGAAATGCTTGTTTTTCTGACCCAGTGGCAGATATTTCCCTCCAGAAAACAAGACAGAATATGTCATTTTGCTTCTTGATTCAGTAGTGTTTATGTATTTGTATTGGAAAACAAAAACAGTAAGAAAATCATCTTTTGCAGTGTAAGCAAAGACAAAAACCTTTGTTACAGTATGTCCGTATTAGAAATATTACAAAAAAAAAAAAAGAAAAAATATCTAAACATTCTTAAATCAGAAGACATTTACTTTGAAAAGAAAGTCATTTTCTGAAAAAGAAAATTCTAAAAAAAATTTTTTTACTTAAAATGAGAGAAAAATATCTGCTAGAAGCGTAAGAAAAATATTGTTTTCCCTTTGAAATGCTTGTTTTTCTGACCCAGTGGCAGATATTTCCCTCCAGAAAACAAGACAGAATATGTCATTTTGCTTCTTGATTCAGTAGTGTTTATGTATTTGTATTGGAAAACAAAAACAGTAAGAAAATCATCTTTTGCAGTGTAAGCAAAGACAAAAACCTTTGTTACAGTGTAAATAATATCCAATAGAAATAAAGCTTTTAAATCTCCTTAAAAAGTTGCTTTTGCAGTGACTTTTTGCTTAAGTAGTAACATTCAATCACTTACATGCGGTCTTAGTGAGGCTTTTTATCAGAGCCTAAGAGAATGCCGCATATTTGGTTTAATATCACGTTCCAGAATATTATTTGATTGAAATATTTCTGCATGTATATTCGTGAAGAGCCGATTGTGACGTAGACTCAGACACGCCCACTGGTGCCCGTAGCCCCGCCTTTGGCTGTTGTCATGACGATGCTGGTCAGCTGGTGCCGCCCAGTGGTCAGACAGTGTCAGTGCAGCTCAATCGAATCAGATGAAGAACACAATAAAAAGAGGGATTTCTATTGAAACTTTATTTATGTAAGGAGGCAAAATGCAAATGTAAAATATCTATTAGGAGTACAATGTTCGGAAAAGCAGAGTAAAAGCAAACTGGAGTTTCAACAACAACAAAAAAAAATCATTGTACATTTTATGATATTGCTTTACATATTTAAATATTTAGTTGAACTCAATAAATACAGGTGTCCTGTGGGCAAACATGCGATGGATCTGCGCTTTATTATACATCAGAAGGTCTGTTTTCAGTTTCTAATATAATATTGCACGTGTGGAGCGAGCGAGCGGCTGTAGTGTTTCAGTGGAACGGGTTTGATTGGCCACATAATGCATAGAACATACAGAACAATGAATATGATTCAAACAAATAATATCAAAAGCTAAATACAGTACACGTGATGAAAACATGTCATGTTCATTCAGATAAAACCTGGAGAAACGCCTCCAAATCAAGACGATAATGAGCAACATGTCATGTCCTCCTGAACTGCTTCCAGTGTGATTGATCATGTGTTAATGATTGTCTGCTGATGCTGCTTTGCTCTGACTCACTTCAGAGTGCTTCTGTGTCGTTAACGTTATTAGAATGTTGCTTCACTTATCTGGTCTTTAATAATGTTCTCAAAAACAGTATTTATTACGTCGCTCGTGGAACTCATTCCTGAAACATCTCAGTTTCTCAGTTCAGAGAATATTCAAGCGTAACGTTCCTATAATGTTTGCAGAATGCTCAAATGGAATGTTCCTTTAATGTTCGCACAACCAAGAATAAACATGTCTGAACAGTGATAAATTCATAATGAATAAACCTGGATGTTTTCAACATTCAGATGTAACATTTTCATCATTTAATTAGAACGTCAGCAAAATGATCTTAGAACATAAGGGTCATAAGGGTCAATTTGTGAAATTGAGATGTATGCATCATCTGGAAACACAACACTCGTGAGAGACCGCACCACATCACTAGGGTTGGGTATCGTTTGAATTTGATCAATTCCAATTCTGCTTTTCGATTCCAATGTGATTAAACAATGATATCAAACATTTATCCTGCGTCTCTTTTTTTTACAAACCATTTATTGGGAGCTGAATACCATGAACAAAAACCAACAGGCTACATAAAAACTGTTTAAGAGCTGTTTGTGTGCAAAATAGAACTGCATGATTCTGGATAAATTGAGGTTTTTTTTCTTTCTTTTTTTTCCCCAATTGAAGTTGTGGATCTCTCATGATTCTGAAGAAAAAACATTAGCCAACTAAACAAAATCACATGTAATTTATGGTGTGTGTATATATATATAGTTTTTATTTTGAACTTGCTTTTATTTTTATATTTTCGGTTTCTATTTTAATTTTAGTAATTTTTAGTTTTTATATTTTAATTTTTTTAGTTTAATTTGAGTAATTTTGCTATGTGCTTTTATCCTTTTTATTAAATGTTATTCTACTATTTAGGTTTAATTTCTTTTTATTTCAGCTTTATTTCAGTTTTAGTTCTTAGTGATTTAAACTTTTAGTTTCAGTTTTGTTTGTAATATTTGATAGTTATTTTAGTTTTGATGTTTATTTAATAACAATGTTTTTTTGGTGTTAGTTGGTTTGGCTGATGGATCAGATCGTGTGTCAGGAGAACATGACTGGGGAAGTCTCGTATCGCCTCCTGCTAACATACGCAACGACAAAAAGAAGAGAATAAGTAAATGAATGAGTAGTAAGTGGAATAAACACTCAGAGCGGCCAGTGTTTCAGTGATCTGCGGTGAGGTAAACACACACACACACTATGATTCTGGATAAATTGAGTTTTTTTCTTTTTTCTCCCCCAATGGAAGTTGTGGTTCTCTCATGATTCTGAAGAAAAAACATTAGACAACTAAACAAAATCACATGTAATGTATGAATGAATGATTGAATGACTCACTTGATTCATTACTGGATGAATCAGTGTTCTTGAACGAATCTCTTGTATGATTCAAAGACAGATACATTTTAACAGCCCCTTTTCGCCACCTACTGGCGTAACAATGTAACCGATAAAGTGTCAAATTACTTTCAAAAGGTGATTTACTCTATTTTAATCGCGAGTTAATATCTGAACTATAAACTTTTATTCCAGTACTTCTGTGATTTGAATGTTTGTAACAGAAATAATGATACTGTGTGTCTGAAGAGACTGAAGCTGCTCTCTTCAGGCCAGCAGCAGCGTGAACGCAGATTTAAATGTTCAGATCACACTGATGTGATCATTCGCTGCACGGACGAACCACGTGATCACAACATTGATCGACACGTCAAAGCTTGAGGAATGAAACAGACCAATCATTGTAATCTAGGAACAGAATCACGTTGGTGTTTGAATCGATAGGCGGAATCGAAATTTTAATTTGACAACAAGTATCCGATTCCTGACCTTAAGTATCTGATTCTGGAATCAGTTTTCGATTCCCAACCCTAGACATCACAAACCCTGTGCCTGTGTCCGTCTCACCTCTGCTCCACTGGCTGGACTCGAGCGACGCCGTCTTCCTCAGCTTCTTCCTGGCGTTGAGCAGCTGACTGCTGTCGAAGAAGCGCGCGGTGAACGGTCCGAGGGGAGAGCGAACAGGGCTGGCGGTCTGAGGCGGGTCACCCGCGGGCGTCTCCTCCAGAGAGGGAGGAGGAGGAGGAGGAGGAGGAGGAGGTGGAGGAGGAGGAAGAGGAAGGGAGATGGGCGAGTCCAGCAGCAGCAGCTCTCTGGAGGGAGGAAGTGATGCGTGCGCGTCAGGGGGCGGGGCTTCGGCCACGGCTCCGCCCATCGGAGGCAGCGACAGGAAGCTCTCGGGCCGGCGCAGCTCTGGGACTCCCGCCGAATGTTCCAGCGCAGCCGGAGCGTCATCCGTCTGCACGCTAGCGGCCTGCGTCTGCGTCTGCTCCGGCCCGGCGCCCGCTCTCTTCCTGGAGGACGCCAGACGCAGACGAGTGGACTTCAGAGTCACCTGACCCGGGTAGCGCTGCGGAAACAGCAGACCAATCAGCACACAGCCGCGGCGCTCTGCATTCACTAATGATTTTAATCTGCTGGAGATGTTGTGTTATCACACTGTTTTGAACAGAAGTACATATCTACACAATAAGCAGTAGCTGTGTTATCTTAGTATTTTTTATTGTTACTTTTACTTATTACTTTTTATGGGACCTATTAAGCTTTTTTTTTTTATAGCTTCACTTTTTTAATGTCAGTTTAAAGTTTAGTCATTATTATGTGCCTTTGTCATTTTTATTCTATTCTATGTAGATATTTTTATTTTAGTAAGTTTAGTCATTTAATTTAAAGGAAAATTAGAAATGTTGTCTTGCCAACCGAAATTAAATAAGTTGAAGTTTTTCATTTGCATTTTTGTTTCAGCTTAATTTCAAGTAACAAAAACTATTTTATGTGCTTTTATTCTTTTTCAATTTTATTTGCATCTTTTATTAGCTATTATTTTTATTTCTAATTTTTGTTTAGGTTTTTAAGTCTTTCATCTAATATTTATAATTTCATTTTAGATTTATTTCCATTTTAAGTGCTTTTGTCATTTTTATTAGTTTTTTTTATATTTCTGTTTAGCTTTATTTTCATAAATTTTAGTCATTATTTTCTTTAGTCATTATTATTTATTGTAGTCATTTTAGTATTTCAACTTACTTTATTTTACTTAGTGGCCAAGGCAACATTTCTAATTATTATTAAGTTTTTTTTAAGTTAAAGTTTTTCTTCTAATATTTATATTTTCATTTTATTTCAGTTTCATTTTGCTTAACAAAAACGAATTTTGAAAGTTTGGTTTGAAGGTGAGCAATTTAATATTTCAGCTTTATTTCAATGAAAAAAAAAAAGATTTTGAATAATTTTAGTCAACTAAAACCAGATGTAGTGAAGCGACTGTATTCACAACAAATGAGGACTGGTGTCAGTACAGAGGGTCTCTAGAGGCAGTGCTGTGTGAATGTGATGCTGTGATGTGTGTTTTCAGATGCTGAGAGTCAGACCTGTCTGAAGCTGCGCAGTCGGTCCAGTGTCCTCTGTCTCTCCTGACTCACTCTGGACAGCCGCTGCTCCTCTTCCTCCTCTTCATCCTGCAGATACACATCATGTGTCATCAACATGTGATTCATCATTACGGGGAATGTAATGCTCTGTTGAGTCGCACCTGCAGCAAAGCTTGCTGGGAAACGCAGTCCGGGCCGCCCTGCCGCTGCTGCAGCTTCTGCGTGTGATTGATGATGCAGATTTCCTGAGAACAAAACCAGACGCCACGACTGTTAAACAGAGACCGTAAACTAATAAAGACGGATAAAAGCCCCACTCATCAGATAACGATAATTAAAAAATGACAAATATCGGCCAAACAGAAAAAAGTAAAAGACAGCGATAAATAAAAAATGACAAATATTGGCCAGACAAAAAAAAGTTATTAGCCGATGCCGATAATTAAAAAATGCTAAATATCGGCCAGACAAAAAAAAGTTATTAGCCGATGCCGATAATTAAAAAATGCTAAATATCGGCCAAACAGAAAAAAGTCATTAGCCGATACCGATAATTAAAAAATGCTAAATATCGGCCAAACAGAAAATTTTTTGTAGCCGATGCCGATAATTAAAAAATGCTAAATATCGGCCAAACAGAAAAAAGTTATTAGCCGATGCCGATAATTAAAAAATGCTAAATATCGGCCAAACAGAAAAAAGTTATTAGCCGATGCCGATAATTAAAATTTTTTAAATATCGGCCAAACAGAAAAAATTTATTAGCCGATGCCGATAATTAAAAATTTTTAAATATCGGCCAAACAGAAAAAAGTTATTAGCCGATGCCGATAATTAAAAAATGCTAAATATCGGCCAAACAGAAAAAAGTTATTAGCCGATGCCGATAATTAAAAAATGGCAAATATCGGCAAATACATCGGTTGACCGCTACATGACACTGATGTTTCTCCCTCTGGTACCTTCTTGTGTTTGAGGTAGGCTTTCTTGGCGGTGATGCGTCCTCTGCGGGCCTCCAGCTGTCTGGTCCTCTGCTGGAGTTTGGCCACGTCGTCTCTGGGAGGGGTCAGAGGGGTCGAGGGGTCGTCGGATCAGGACTCTCGTAGTAAACCCCCTCCTCCTGCCTCTCTGCAAACACACACACACAGATGACGGCTGAAACGGCTGAACGGAGGACGCAGGGGTGCAGACGCTCACCGCTCATCTGTCTGCGCAGACTCTGCAGCTGCGCCGTCAGCAGCAGCTCCTCGTACTTCAGGATCTCGAACTGGGTCTCGTAGAGCTGCAGCTGGAGCTCGTAGTAC